CCCAGCCCCAGTGTAGATGACTTCACGCTAGTCAGGAATGACTGTCCCCTCAGCCGTCCCAGGGCCCTGGGCTCCAAGCTCCAACCCTGCTGGGATGGTAGACCTTTTCTGCCCCCTACCCCCCAGTGGGCAATGAGGACAGAAGCTAGGACCATCGCTGGGGCCGGCAGCTAGTCCTAGAGGCCCCCACTCCTCAATCTGAGCCCCTGACTTTGAGGCAAGTGCAGGCTTCGGGTCACACATGCCTGGACTCAAGCCCCAACTCTGCCACTTAGCAACGGGACCGTAGTCGTGTTGCTCAGCCCCTGGCCGTGGGAGAAGCAGCACAGCTATAACCCAGCCTTCGGGTTCTGGAGAGTCTGCCCTTGGCACTTCTAGTGGGGACTCGTGGAAACTGCTGGGGGTTTTTTATTGCTAGCATCTTAATCCTGAAAATCCCTCTCTCCATCTGGCAGCACGGCCGGGTTCTGCTCCCCTGGAGCCTGGGTGACTGCCTGTCTCTTTAAGAGGTGCCCCCAGACTTGGGTCATGGAGCCAACATTTTTTTTTCTTTTTTTTGCGATCAGGGTGTTGCAAGTCCTGATCACGCAGAGACGTTAATCACGAATCATCACGAATCTCCAATCATCGTGTTCCAATCTGCCCTCCAAAAGGAGGAACAGGTAAGGATTATCCTACCTGATGATAGGAGCCAACATTTTTAACTCAAACCATCCCAGCATAAGCTGGCAGTGGATGCATATCCCCCTGGCCACTTTTACATGATGCAGTGCATGAGAAAAGATACAGGGACGGCTACTCAAACAAAGGTCAGAGTAGAAGTGTATTTCTCTCCCACATAACAGCCTGCACACAGGCCATTCAGAATAAAGAACGTGGCTTCCCGGTGCAGAAACCCAGGCCCCCTCTCTGGCTTGGCCTTCCCATCTTCTCTAGTGGCTTCCACCTCACGATCCAAAACGGCTGCCCCAGCTCCTGCCATCACAATCGAGTTCCCCCAGAGGGAAAGGCATATCCCCAAAGCAGCACAACTGGGTCACATGACCACACTAACTGCAGGGGAGGCCAGGAAAGGTGGTTTTTCGTTGATGGGGGCATGAGCCAACTAAAAATTCTCTTCCAATGGAAGAAGATACTGGGATTATCTAGTCGTTTTTGCCTCATCTCACAGAAGAACAGAGACGATTTTACTTTTATTTGTGGGACTGGATGAACACGCAGACCAAGTGGTGTGAGTAGAAGCCCCCAAACCCCAGCAGGGGAGTGGGCTGGAGGGAGGCGAAGTGCCTCTGGGAACCCTGCCAGCATTTTTCTCGTGTCGCAAACACGCATCTACGTTGTACATAACCAGAGCAGGTGCTGGGTGTGTGGAGCAGAAGTGGGAAAGGCCTGGTTGTTTCCAGCCCACACAACTGCCAACTACTTACGTGCCTTTATTCATTCAACCTGCTTACTACTCTGTGTACTACTATAATGCCAGGCCGGGTACCTCTTTCCTTCTGAGAAGGAAACAAACCCAATCTGACCCCGAAAGACTCTCACAATGAATGTGCAGCGCCCACAAGCCACCTGGGAAAATCCTTCTGTTCAAATCGTGCCTGCTGGGAGGTTGGCAGGGGAAATGCCTCGCCTGATGCCTGGACCCGCCCCACCTCCACACAGTCCGGCTGTGGCCCGGCCCCTTTTCTGACATCCCAGGCCTGGAGCAGGCACCCCCGGGGCCCCCCTAGAGGCAGTGGCAACCCCTTCCCTAAAAGTGGCCAGGACCATGGGTGTGGCTCACAGAGTGGCATGTCATGCAGGTGGCTTGGGGAACACCCAAGGTGATGGACTCCTGGTTTGCTGGGACAGTCCTGGTTTTAGGACCACAAGCCCTGAATCCAGGGACCCACTCAGTCTGGTTAAACTGGGATTGTGGGTCACCCTGGAACTCGGACCCTGTATGTTTCCTTACTCTCACCTCCCCCCAAACCAGGGCTTCTCAACCCTTGGCTGCACGCTGGCATCACCTGGAAGAACATTTAAAATGCTGCTGGGGTCCCACCTTGGCCCACTTCACTCAGAGCCTCAGGGGCGGGACACGGGTTTTGTGAGAAAACCTCCAGGGGATGCTAACATGCAGCCAGGTTGAGAGCTCCCGGGCCCGGAGAGAGCAGCCGTGCCAAGGTCAGCTGGGGATGGTTTTTTGTCTTCTATGTTTGTTGTTGTTGTTCGTCCTCATCGAGGATATTTTTCCATTGATCTTTTAGAGTGGGAGAGAGAGGGAAAGACAGACACATCCATGTGAGAGAAACACATCGACTGGTTGTCTCCCGCATGCAACCTGACCAGGGCCGGGGCCGGGGAGGAGCCTGCAACCGAGGTATGTGCCCTTGACCAGAATCGAACCTGGGACCCTTTAGTCCGCAGGCCAACGCTCTGTCCACTGAGCCAAACCAGCTCGGGCGATATTTTGTCTTCTAGGTGAGGTGGGAGCTGAGCAGGAGTGAACAAGGACCACTGGACTGGGTTCATTTGGGCTCACTGATCAGTTATGTATAGAGGGTCTATCATGGCACCGGCACTGTCCTGGGGCTGAAGATACGGGGTGGAGGGGAGAGGACAGTGAGGACCTGCTTTCATTCTGGTGGGGGACACAGCAGAAGCCACCTGGATACTTTCAGGGGAAGATGCTCAATCGAGCCGATGTGCAGAGCTGCTCAGATAGGGCATTTGTTTCGCTGGGCTGCCAAGACAACAGGAACTCATTCTCCAATAGTTCTGGGGGTCAGGGCTCCAAAACCAAGGGGTCAGATGGGCTGGTTCCTCGGGGGGCTCTGAGACAGAATCTGTCTCATGCCTGTCCTGACTTCTGGGGCCATCATTAGTCCTTGACATTCCTTGGCTTGCAGATGCATCATTCCAACCTCTGCCTCTGTCTGTACACGCCGTTCTCCCGTGTCCTGGCATGGCCTCCCTCCCTCCGTCTGTGTCCTCTCTTTACAAGGACACCTTGTCACTAGATCCTGAATTACATCTGCAAAAAAACGTTACTCCAAATGAGGTCCCATCCTCAGGTTCCAGGGGTAGGATGTGGACACAGCTTTTCTGGGGCTACAATCAACCCCCTACAGACAGGGTGGGTAGGGAAGGACTCTGGAGGTGAGACTCCACATGAATATTTCCAGAAGCCAGCTCCAAGCATGTGCAGAGACTGCAGAAGGTGATCAGGGCGGAAATAGAATACTGGGGGCCAGCTATAATTATAAGAAACAGTAATCGTGCTCTGTTAACCGTGATTGCTTTGTTCTGATTAAAGAAAGCACATTCTAACCTGGCTGGGAGTTGCACATGGGACCTGGGAGCTCACCTGGAAATGAGGCCCATCCTCCCCATCTGGGCGCTGCCTATTCTCATGGAACGTTAGCAAGCTTGGTGCAGAAACCAGAGCTGCCAGCCCTTTGAGGACCCCACCCTTTGCATACCCACAGGCCTTTGCAAATCTCCAGCCCCCATTACCTGTAAACTGCCCATTTGGCATACCCTTTTGCCTACTTCCCCATGTCATCTTTGTCCTTTTACCCAATATAGGCAGCTGGCTTTTGACCGGGGGGTGGAGGGGCACAGAGCAGATTTTTGTGGGTGACCTCTGCTCTCCCATCCTGCCGGCAGTTTTGGAATAAATGTTCATATATGATTCAGCCCTGTCTCTGCTTAATTGGCTCAAGTAGTGACAGGCAGCCCAGACCCCTTGGTTGTCTAGTTACATAATTTCTGTTGGGAGACAGGGAACGGAGGGAGCAAATTTGGGGTGTGTTATTGACCAGATGACCACTGTGGGCATCTGGGGCTCAGTCCCACCAGGGACCTCTGGAAGTTTCCATAGAGCAGGAGCCTCGGAGCTACCTGGGGGACGAGGGTGCTAAGCAGTCAGACACCAACTCCTGAAAGTCACCGTGGGAGGAGCTCCCGGGGCTTCCCCACCCCCCTGCTGGGCTAGCAGGTTCTGGAGGACAGAGCAAGCCCCCGGCAGAGAATGGAGGGCGTTTTCGGGCGTGGGAACCAGGTGTGCTGAGAGGTCCGGGCGGGACACAGCTGCGGCTGCCCCGGGAAGAACCGCTTGAGCTGCCATCTGAGGGATATGGATATAGAGGAGCCAGCTACATGTGCCCAGCATGCCAGGGCATGTGGAGACAGCGGGGCAGAGTCCCCGAGGCAGGAGCCAGCGCCCTTGCTCCAAGAACAGCAGGGATGGCAGCGTGGCTGCAGTGGGTGGGGTGGGCCATGGCAGGAGGATGGGGGAAGTCTCTGTGGGTGCAGAGCCGGGATTGGATGTGGGACAATGAGGCCTTTGGAGAGCTGCAAGCAGGAGTCGACAGGATCTGGTCACTGTTTGGTCCGGAGGAAGCCTGCAGGGAGGGAGGCCAGGCAAAGTGGAGAAACCGTGTGTGAAGGGCCTGGCTCCATCTCTCCCAGTTGCATGCCTCGCCCTTCCCTTTCCTGGCCTTCACTTCCCACTTGAAAAGTGAGGCCAACAAGCCTGGCCTGTTTCAGGAAGGTGTTGGTGACTGCTGAGGTCACATGAGCAAGAATCCCCCCTTGCTCAGGTGCGGGTCCCCTTGGCAGTGGCTGGAGCTGAGGAAGGGGTCTTGGAGCCCTGTAGTTCCCCCGGGAAGAAGTGGCCTTGCCTGGACCCATGCATTTCAGAGTGGGGCCTCCACTGTGTGGCTGATTTTTGCCCAAAGTGACTCAGCTAAAATTATGTATGATGAATGCCACGTCCTGGAGGCGTGAAGACCAAGCTAGTCTGAGAAATGAGGACTGAGTCTTCAGGGTCCAAAGAGCCCTGGGTGGCTGGTCGTCTTGTTCAGGGCTCTGAGAGGCAGGAGCGGCAGTTGATATTCTCTGTAACTGGCAACACGGCGCTGACTCAGCACTCACATCTGAACGTGGAGACGGTTGAACTGAATTCTGAGAGAGCTGTGTAACTGTCAGTTTTCGCCGACAGAGTCCAAGTGGTCATGTTGCAGTTAATGCCCCAACTCTCCATATGCCCAGACCATCCGTTTGGCTACCAGGAGGTCCAGCCCTGTCCATGGTCCTCCCCAACTACATCCAAGAACCTCAAGGGTAGCTACAGGTATCCGGTAATGCTGGATACCCATTTACTAGTATCCAGGGTTTACCCTGTGTTGGGTAATGTGCAAAGCATTTTATATGAGAACTAGAGGCCTGGTGCACGTAATTCATGCATGGGGTGGGGGGTGTCTCCTCAGCCCAGCCTGCACCCTCTCCAATCCAGGATCCCTCTCACAATCCGGGACCGCTGGCTCCTAACTGCTCACCTGTTTGCTTGCCTGATCACCCCCAACTGCCCCCCCTGCTTGCCTGATCACCCCCAACTGCACCCCCACCAGCCTGGTTGCCCCTAACTGCCCTCCACCCCGCCAGCCTGGTCGCCCCATGCAGCCTGCTGTTCAGTCGTTTGGTCATCCCTCACTAACTCCCTTGCCGGCCTGGTCACTCCATGCAGCCTGTTCGGTCTTTACTGTTACTGTGACAGTGTCCTGGACAATTTGCGTATTCCTCTATTATTAGCATAGTTGGCTATCATTCTCATTTTAGAGTGGAGAAAATGGAACCCCAGAGACACTGATTGTGGAAATCAATGGAAAACGCTGGTAGAAACCATTTTTTTCATCTTTCATAAAAATAGGATTATAGTCAAGCACACAACTAGACTACATTTCCCAGCCTCCCTTGCATTTGGGTGTGGTCATGTGCCCAAGTTCTCTCCAGTGGCACCTCTGCCTTTTCTGGGTCCTTCAAGAAAGTTGGTCCTACCTCCTCTGTATTCCTTTCCTCCACCGCTTTCTGGGTATGGAAGACAACAGGGTCTTGGGGTTCAGTGGATGCCCTGATAGGAAGAGCCTGGGCTCTTCCCAGTGGAGAACTGCCCTGCCAGCTTGAACACTAACTGGGGGCTGTTAAGTGAGCAAGAGAGACTGCTGTTCTGTTAAGGCCTGGAAAATATAAAGCCTGCATGTTGCAGCCGCCAACCCAGGCTTTGCAATGCCCAGTGTGGCAGAGCCGGGGCTTGAGCGGCCTGTAGGCTCCCGGAGTCGTGTCAGCTCCTACTTGCTGCGGTGCATGGTCATAGGGATGGTCCTACAGCACTGGGGCCCCCAGCATTTCAAGCAACGGTTCATTCTGTCAGTGCTGCTGGCCTTAGCCATGCTCCGCTGCTGGTGAGTTTAGAGTCAGGGGTTCCCAACTCCCCCCCGCCCCCCAGGCTCTGCAGAAGGAGGAGCCAGGACCATTCCACCTGCCCCTGCCTGGGAGCTGGACAGGGCACCTGGCCGTGCTGCTTAGCAAGCTGGGGCTTCCAGCTCAAAGCCTGGCGCTCTCGCAGGACGAGGCTGCCATCCGCCACCAGGCCACCTATTCTCTCTGGGGACATGTCTGTGTGCTCTCCCAGACGGCAGTGCTGCCCGCCTCCCCACGTTATGCTCCTAGTCCTAGTAGGTGCCCCACAGCCACGCTGCCGAGGCCCCCAGATCCTGCAACAAGCACTTAAGTGCCAGCCGACCGGAGCCACCTCTTCCCCGACCCCAGGCTGCCAGCTGAGTCAGATTCCCCACCAGAGGGTCCCATTTCCTCCCTGCTATCCTCAGTCCTGGTGCCCTTTCCCGCGTACACATGCTGCATTTCACGAGTTGCGTTTGAACATCCCCGAGCACCCATAGGGCGGGGTTTCAGAGCCAGGGCACCCCTGTCTCCCAGGGCTCCTCAGCCCCTCCGTGAGGCCGACAGGTGTGAGGTCTCTGCACACCTCCACCTGCCCACAGTCCCGGAGTGCCAGCCGGATCAGGGCACATGTGGATTAGGGTGAGTGGGTATGGTCCACCCCGGGCCCTGGCAGCTCCAGTCCCAGTCTGTGCATAGAGAAAGGAAGGCACCAAGAGGCCAGGGACTGAGTTAGGGTCAATCCTCACCAAGCAAGTGGGTGGCAGGTGTGGGGTGAAGGATCTGCCTTCAGTGCATCCAATGGAGGGTGGGTAGCAGGTGCCCACATCCCCCAGACCCCTTTCCCACCTTCATGCCCGAGATCCCTCTACCCCCTCAACAGCACCACCTGTGCCTCTGTGATGAGGACACCCTCATGCCTGGCCTGTGTGCCCAGAGCCAGAAGCACCCGGGAATTCCTGTCCCTGCCGGGGACAGCCCTTCACCAGGGGCCGATGGTGAGGACGTATGAATACCCCCACTCCCTCACCCGAGTAGAGACTCTGAGTGAGCCAGGGTGACCTTCTGCTTGGGCTGAACTGTGTCCTCCCCGACCCCAATTCACAGGTTGAAGTCCCAACCCCTCACATCTCAGAATGTAACTGTATTTGGAAATAAGTCGTGGCCAATGTAATTAGTTATGATGAGGCAACACTGGAGTAGGGTGGGCATGACTGGTGCCCTCATGGGAGGGGAGGTGTGGACACAGACGCACAGGGAGACGCCCTGGAAAGGTGGGAGTGATGCTGCCACAGGCCCAGGAACCACCAGAGGCTGGGGGAGAGGCGGAGCAGCTCCTTCCCCGATGCCCTCGGAGAAGGCACGGCCCTGTCAGCACCTTGACCTCGGACTCCAGGCTCCAAGACTATGAGACAAACAATTTCTTTTTTCTTTCTTTCTTTTTTTTTTTTTTTACAAACAGTTTCTGATGTTTAACTCATTTAATTTGTGCTACTTTGTTTTGGCAGCTCTAGGAAGCTAATACACCTTCGGTGGGGCTTTACCTAATATCACGTGGCTGCGTGGCCTTTCCCTGTCATAGCATACTCCCCACACTCCCGGGGGACGCTGCCTACTGCCTTCCGCTCCCCTGCATCATTGTCACAGGGTGCCATCTGCTCCTGGGAAATTCCACCTAAGACCGTGGGTCCTAAGGAGCCATGGCAACTTACCAGGGGCAGACAGAGAATGTAAAGGAGTGAGCTGGGGACTGGGGAGGGTGAACGGAAGGGGACAGCCACCGCTCAGCTCCTGCCGTGGGGGCTGCAGACTCGATGTTGCCTGAGCTTCCAGTTTCTTAAGAGAAACCAAAAATATGATTTAAAAAAAAATAGTGACATCTTATTTTTAAATATTGGCAATTAACTCCATTAACTCCATTTGTTTGTTTGTTCTATTAAACTATTCCCCAGCTCCAACTCAAACAAGTCTAGAGGTCAGACCTGGGGTCGAGAGCTTGGCAGGGAGTGCACACCCGCCTTTGTGTGGCAAGAAGAGCTCGGAGCCAGAGGCCCGAGGCCCGAGACTGACTCAGGGTTCTCCTACCTGCTGGCCGAGCGTGCCTGCTTTAAGCGTGCGCGCACACACACACACACACACACACACCTGAGCCTCAGTCACTTGTCTGTAAAATGGGTACCATCTGGTGGAGCTTGCTTACCTCCTGGGGTGGTCATGAAGGCAGACTGACATAATTTCTTTAGCAAACACTACGTGCAAGCCATGCTCTGAGCCCGTGGGCAACTACTAAGTCTTGGGCTCCTCCCTTGCCCCCCCCCCCCCCCCCACGTCCTTAGAAGGTGCCACCATAATTATCCCAGCTTCACACACAGAACTGAGGCTGAGGGCTTACTGACTTGCCCAGACCTCCCAGCTCAGGCAGTGGAACCGGCATTAGATCCAGGCAAGCTCTCAGCCAGGGCACGTGGCTGCCTCTCGGGATGCATTAACATACTTTACCAAGGGAGTGTTCTCTCTCTCTCTCTCTCTCTCTCTCTTCTTTTATTTTAATAAATGGGGAGGAAGGAATGGATGGGTGGCCCTGTCTCTTGGCCAGCAGCTACTGCTCCACGAAGAACTGGTGTTAGCTGATGTGGTTGTACAGGCTTCCTCACTCGTCTGGACAGGGGCCAGTGTGTGAGGCCAAACAACCAGCCACCCTTTCTCCTCAGTCGAGCATTTCCCGTAAGTGGTGGCTCGCTGCCTGCTGGCTGGCCCGCCTGGTCCGCAGCCAGGAGAGGGCTGGGCGCCGCCTCCTTGAGGCCAAGGTTTCCACGCTGCCTGGCCCCCCCTGCCTGCCCCATCCCAATCTGGGACTGTGCTGTGTGTGTGTCTTAGAAAATCCTGGATCCAGACCAGAGCTCCAGGTGGGTGTCCAGGCCTCTGTTCCCCTGACCTGAAAAGTCCTCACTCCACGATGGGCAGAGCTTCGCTGCCCGAGCATCTCCAGAGCTGGCCATCTCGCCATTCACTTGCTCCCCAGGCACCTGTCCAAGGCCCCTGGTGTGCCCAGCACAGAGCCAGGTGGGCGGAAGGGGCACCTGCTCTTATGAAGATAATACCCTAGTGAGGGAGTGGGGAGGAGCCAGATTGCTAAACTAATAAGAAAACAAGAGAATTAGAGATCATGGAAAGTTTGAGAAAGAGAACAAAACACGTCTATCTGTATCCCAGACCCCAGAGAGGGACTGAGTGATTGGCTGGGATGTGAGCTGGGGGTCAGGGAAGGGAGACCTCAGATTTTCAGTCCTAAGAAAATCTACAGGGGAGGGGCATTCCTGGGAGGGAGCAGCGGTTCCACAGCCCTGGGGTAGGGAGGGGCTGGGAGTTTCTGGAACTCGGACAGTCTGGCCTGCTGAGTGGGAAGGTGTGGGTGGGACAGGTTGGCAGGTCCCCAGCAAGCAGGGCCCAGAGGGGGCACGGTGGTGGGGGCCACCTCCCCTGGTCGGGGACTACCCAATGGGGTGAGACCGGCGCTCTGATCTCCCCGCACTGACCCGTGGGTGGACCCGCCCAGCTCCTGCCACTCCGGGGCCGAGGCCAGAGCTGCAAGACAAACAGGAACCCCTGCCCATCCTTCCAGCTTCCAGAGGAGAAGGCCCTGCTGTGGGCATGGCTTTCCTGCCCCTTGTCCCAGCCCCTGAGCAACGCCGTGCTTTCTGTTTGCTGACTCCTCTCTGGCCTGGCCGGATGGCAGGTTGTTTGGGAGGCCAGGCGGGACACGGCAAGGCGTGGCGGCTATTTCCCCTCTCACCTCGGGCAAGGGCAGTCTGAAAGGGGAGCAAGCTTCCAGCACAGATAGGCCGCATGGTGGGGCTGCAGCAAAGGAGGCCCCCAAGGGTGGGAGCCGGGAGCGGCCGAACGAAGCCAGCAGGAGTGGCAGCTGCAGAAAGGCCAGAGCACGGCTGTCAGTGCCAGGCAGCTGCAGAAAGGCCAGAGCACGGCTGTCAGTGCCAGCACCTGACAGATCAGCCCATCCATCCCCACGCAACCGCCCGGCAGGGAAACAGAGGCAGGGCTCCAAGCCACACAGACATCCTGCTCTGTTTGGGACACACTTATACTAAAAATACATCAACTGTTTATCTACAATTCATATGTATCTGCTGTCCTATCTCTCATGTGGCAGCCCTATGACTCCAGGCCAGGGTACATCCAGGCCCACGAAGCCTGGGACTCCCCCCTCCCCTCCACCCTCTGCGGTGTGGGCAGCTGCCCCTGCCTCTCTCACCCTCCGCCTCCTGCAGAACTGTGCCTATGCCATAGTGTTCCTTCCACCTGACCCGGCCTCTGTCCCTCTCTCACTGGCACCCAAGGCAGGGGCCCAGGCAGGCAGAGCAGATTGCCAAGAGAAGAGGTGGGGTCCTCCCGTGGGCTGTCCTCAGGGCCCCCGTCACCTTGCTGGGGGCAGATGGTACATGGAGTGAGCCCTGGATTCTACCCCGATGGACCTCAGCTGTGCCTGGGCCTCCACTTGCTCATCTGTGAGGTGGGGAGCGAGCCGCTGCCCTGCCCACCCCTGCCGGGGTCCTCACCCCCTCACCCTCCGATTCTGTGCTGGGCACATGGTCCAGGCACAGGGGTGCAGCACTCAGTGAGGTTGTAGGTGGATAAAAACAACCAAGTGAAAGGAGAAGACACGTGAGCCTTTAGAAAGGAGCACTAAATGCCTCCAAACAAAGCTGAGCTGTGCAATCGGGAGCCAGGAGTCCCTCTGGGCCCTGGAAATGCTGAGCCGTGCGTGTAGGCACACGTGGCTGAAGACCTCGTAGAAAAATATAACGTAAAATACCCTATTCGTCATTTTTAAATTGCTTACATGTGAAAATGATCATGTTTTGGATGTACTGGGTTAAAGAAAAATATGATTAGAATCAACTTCTGTTTCTTTTTACTTTTCTAGCGGTGGTTCCTAGGCAATTTAAAATGGCACATGTGGTTCAAATTACATTTCTATTACTGGAGAGCGCCTGGTGGGAATCGAAAGGAAAACAAAGTTGCTCTGAGCCTCAACTTTAAAAAAAAAAATGTGCTCAAATTTAAACAATAGTAAACAGTATAATAAACCTCCATATACTCATCCCAACTCAAAATTCTCAGCGTGTACAGCCTCTTCCTTGACATTAATACATCCCCTTCTTCCATCTTCTGTATGATTTTGAAGCAAATTCTAACATCATGTCACCTGAATTTTTTGGTAAAAATGGATTCTTAAAAAACAAAGCCATAAGCAATTCAACTCCCAGGGAGGTACCCAACACAACACCTTCCACAGGCATGTTCACAGCAGCATTATTCATAGTAGCCAAAAGGTAGAAGCAACCCAAGTGCTCATCAGCGAACCAAGAGATAAACGAGACGTGCTATATCCGTACGATGACTCTCGCTCTGCAATGAGGAATGAAGTACCAATGCATGCTGCAACACGGGTGGACCCTGCAAACACTGTGCCCAGGAAAAGTAGCCAGATGCAAAAGGCCACACGTGGTGCGATTCCACTCACATAAAACGTCCAAAACAGGCGAATACAGAGACAGAAAGCAGACGAGCGGTTGCCAGGGCCTGTACTAATTGCTAATTAGTACAGAGTTTCTTTTTTTAGGGCGAAGAAGCATTTCTGGGATTAGATAGTGGTGATGAGTGCCCAACTTTGTGAATGTACTAAAAGCCACTGTATGTGATGCTTTAAAAGGGTAAATTTTATTATAGGCGAAATGACATTAAGGCAGTGGTTCTCAACCTTCTGGCCCTTTAAATACAGTTCCTCATGTTGTGACCCAACCATAAAATTATTTTCGTTGCTACTTCATAACTGTAATGTTGCTACTGTTATGAATCGTAATGTAAATATCTGATATGCAGGATGGCCTTAGGCGACCCCTGTGAAAGGGTTGTTCGACCGCCAAAGGGGTCGCGACCCACAGGTTGAGAACCGCTGCATTAAGTCCTCACTTAACGC